AAGGAAAAACGAAAATAGGGGATATAGGCTTTACCTATTTAGGCTAGTTATAGTTTCCACAGATATTTCTGGAAGTGGGAATTCATATTTGGTTGCATAGTTCCTTTCTAGTTTTACTCGTTTTATAATCGGACTGGTGATCTGTATTGTGAATTTATCTAACCAGTTATGTCAACAACATTTTCTGTGAATGTTTTTCATGTTTATGTTAGATCTAAACTCTGAAATGACTCATTATGTTTAATAGATATTTGAATGTAGGAACGGGCATATACCGGATTGCATGTCCAGCGTCAATAACAACTAGTAATAATTATGTGCATATGCATATATTTAAATAAAATATTATTACATATACATATATATTATTTAAAATAATAAGTTATATAACCAGAATATCACGTTTAGTAAATTTAATAATTAGTGTAAATGAACAATACAATCATAATATATTTTACTTTCATTTGAATAGTTGTATAAGTTTCAAAAAATATAATGAATAATGTGATCAATTAATTAGTTGATAATATATTAAGTTATTATTATTATTATTATAACAATTGTTCATGCGATTTTATATGGTTTGTTATGCCATTATAACCTTTGTTTAATGAGATAAAAATAAAAACAATATTTATTTTTATATAAATAATTTTCATGTAGTTTTTAATGTGAATTTATGATTAGTTAATATTAGAAGTAGTATTTATGATAGAATAGTTATATTATTATACTTGATCTATATAAATGTAACGATTAGTTTCACAATTAAATGAAAAAAAATGAGTGGAAAAAATGCATTAAATGGATAACCACAAATTATATATGTATAGATTGTAACGCAATCACGACTTCATTTATTTATTTCTTTCAAATGTCACAACTCACATCACGATCATACTTAGTGTAGTCAGTTGAGTTCTGTGTACCATGTAATTATGTGTGTTTTATTAAACATCTACGTTCTAGAAAAAGAAAAATAAAAAGACTCAAATCTTTTCGATCTCATCCTCCAATTTCACCAGGCAAAATCATTCCTTGCTCCAAAACTTGGAGGTGGGGAATGGGGATGGTTGGCGCATAACTCAACTGAATATTGCATATTAATCTAAATAATGAAAAGAATAAAGAAACGCAGCGTAAAATTCTCAAAAGAAGCCACCATTTGAGGGCCATTTTCCCAATGGTAATCACAGCACCAAAAACCCACACAAAACCCCGTCTTCCTCTTCACATGAAAAGAACTCCAAACAGAACTTCCCCACCTAACCCTCCAACCCAAATCCAATTACCTCTGCACAGACCCGAACACAAACCGCCCAAACCCATCAGAACCGGAAACCCGAAAACCCGACCCGTCACCACCACATCCGACGTCTTACGCCTGATGGACAGCCTCCGATTGCCCGTACCGCTCGACATCTACGTCTTGCTCGTCGAAGAATGCTCAGAATCCGGCGACCCTTCAAAAGCCGTCGAGCTTCACGATCACGTCAGAAGAAGCAGGCTCCGTTTGGGCATAGGCATGCTCAACCGAATCATGCTAATGCACGTCTCGTGCGGGTCCCTCTCGCACGCGCGCCAGGTGTTTGACCAAATGCTCGTTACAGATTTCAACTCGTGGGCAGTTGTTATCGCGGGCTGTGTCGAGAATGGGGAGTATGATGAAGCCATAGAGCTGTTTGTGAAGATGCTCCGCGAAAAGGGATTTAAAAATGTCGATGATAAAAGCCAGATGTGTTTTTCGGTTTCGGGGATTCTTGTTTGTGTCCTCAGAGCTTGTCTGCAAACTATGAAATTTGAACTTGGGGTACAGGTGCACGGCTGGTTGTGCAAAATGGGTTTCTCAAGAAGTGTTGCTTTGAGTAGTTTTCTGATCAGTTATTATGGGAGGGCGAAGTTTCTCGAAGGGGCAGAGAGAGTTTTCGAGCAGGAACGTTTTAAGAATACAGCTGTGTGGACGTCTAGGATTGTGAACTTTTGTAATGATGATAAGTTTGAGGAAGCTATTTGTGTCTTTAAGGATATGGGGCGGGAAGGAGTGAGGAAAAACGGGTACACATTTTCAGCTGTTCTTAAGGCTTGCAGGAAAACAGGGTATATAGAGTGCGGCCAGCAGGTGTATGCGAACGTGATAAAATTAGGGCTTCATTCGAACAGTTACGTGCAGCGTACATTGTTTGACTTGTAGAGAAATTGTGGTGTTGTGCTGTGATGCAACGAATTTGAATCTTGCTCAAAATGGGCTCTGCCTCGAGGTAATTGAAGTGCTCTATAAACATGAAGTGTGAAGAAAAAACAAAATGTAAATAAAGATGCATGGGTTCAGAGCATGTGAATCAGTGTCTAATCAAGTGAGACTCTTTTGTGGGAGAAAGGTTTTAAAAACCACAGGGGTGAAGTGCATTTGTAAAGCTTTATTGTAATTATAGATTAACTTTGTAAGATTGTGTTCAAGGGTATAGTTTGGTTGTTTTTACCATTCTAGAACAGGCAGAGAGATTTTGGGTCCTTACCTTACGGTAATTGGATTTTGTAAGAAGTTGAAAAGCCAGTTATTAAGTCATCGATCGTTTGATAAATGCGTGTATATACATTTCTGATTTTTTAAAGGCTTTGATATTTTAAGGATTAAAAAATGTACTCTGTTCGGGCCTTGTGCTGATGCATAGGTTTGTTAAAGATGATGGAACTCATATATTGGCTTTGTTTAAGCATTCATTTGTGGGTACTTCAGGTTGTTCTAAAGTACAAACCTTTTCATGTTCCGGGCCAGTTAAAGCTGGATTGTATAAAATAGAGTTAATTTTTATTTACCTCCCGAACTATGTTAAAGTTCTGACATTACATCATGTTCATTTAATCTTCCCAAACCGCCATACAGGAATTATTTTTTCGGCCAATATACCTTCCAAACAAAGCGTTGCCTAGCAAAACCGCGTAGACTATTGAAATGCCTGTTGTAAAAAGCAAAATTGAGTCCAACCAGCCATTCATTCGAAGAACACACTCCAGACCTGATTTTTGCTCTGTGGACTAAAAGTTTTTGCTATCGTTGACTAGAAAATTTCGCAGGAAAAAGGATACCAAATTGACGTGGACTCAAAATGTCGAGTTGATTGTAGATGATTTTTTCCATCGTGGGAAGAACGTCGTTAAGAGGACATCATGGACGGACATGGACCCCAGCCAGGTACTCGGCGTGCGAGAAACTTCAGATAAACTAATGTGAAAATGACTGTCGAGTTTATGACGATATGGTTTACTTTGAATTTCACCCTTGAATTTAGGATTTAGGGTTAGGGTTTTTAATTTTTAGAGAACTTGAATTTCTGTGTTTAATTAATTTTTTTTCAATTAAATTATTGATTTAAGGTTAGGGTTTCTATTTTTTAGGAAATTTGATTCATGTATTTAATTCAAGCAATTCTTTCGTTGAATTTAGGATTTAGGGTTAGGGCTATTAATATGAATTTATGTACTTAATTAGTTTTTTTTTTTTNCAGCTACCCTATTTGGATTGATGCTCTAATGTGTGCAAGATCTCAGTAAATTTATCCTGGGGCTTCGAAAACGAGTCCATCGTCTTGAAGAGAATTTTTGGTGCACAAGAATCGTAGAAATAAGATCATGTTGGTTGTGCTATATGTGTCTTGGTTTTGGTTTTGGATTTATTTGCATAGGTAATGTAGGAAGATGTATTGTAATGGATTCAAGTAGTGATGCATTTGAAGACCTTGTTAACACTCTTTTGTGAAGTAAAATGAACTTTTTGTTGCATTTCAAGTACATATTGTGTGATAGACATTCTGACCGATAAATTAAGATATAAAGACAACAAAATATTGTAATTCAAACTTGGTGCTTACAAATGAAGTTTCTAAGCATTTACAATGACTTTCATAGTCCAACAAATCACTCCCAGTGCCTACAAACCATAAGCATAACATCAAAAGGTACCATACCTACATGAACTACTTTCAAAACAAGTACATACCATCAAGTTCCAAAATGGCTATGTTTCATCAAAGTTTTACAAAAGATGTCTAACAAAACCACAAAACCATAAACAATCATTGTTGCCATAGTAAGGCACTCTATCCACAGAGGACATCTTGCTTGGGATTTTGTTTGGAANTAAAAAAAAAAAAAAAAAAAAAATCATTCCTCCTGACTATTTTTGGCTAGCTTATACCCTTGGAACTTCATCATCACTTAGGGACTCTTGACAGTTGACTGGCTGGTGCACTATTTGGTGGCCGACCAAGGTTATTCTTTTCTTCTTTATAGAGACTGGGCGGTCTTTGTATCTGACGCTCTTGCCTGACAGTGAATGATATGAGTTTGTTTTAATTAATGTATTATATCAGTTGTTATGACAAGCGAGTTTTGTTAGCGGTTATGAAAATTGTATTGGATAAAATGAGTATTTTTTTTATTAGCTATTAACACGGAAAATTTGTATTTTTCTTTATGTTGCAACCATAATTATTTGGAAAATACAAATTAAGCATACTATAAATATTGAGGAAAATGATATAATAATAATTGATGTAGCAGGAAGCTATTGATGGGAAGATTTGCAGAGAAAAACGATGAACACATAAAACAGTTTTCAATTTTCCATTTTTGAATAATAACGGTCATCCTCACAATATAACGTACATATTAATAATCTTATCAAATCCTAACTAACTAGACTAAAAAAACAACTCAAATAAAAGAAGTCCAACACACAACATAAATACACACAAACATAAATAAGGATAATAAATATAATAATAATCAAATTAAAGGTCGGAGTCGATTATGTATATCGGGAAACGCCAACGCACTCTCGTCGGCATCAATAATACATCGCAAATAATAAAAAATGTTGTTCTTCATACTTTTTGCCCCACAATAAAATTTATTTATCTAGGACAAAAATGTCAAAAAGACCACTTTTGCCCGTGACATTGTAAATCCTTTCTTTCCATTTCGTTTTGAGGACTTGTAAATTTTTCCCGGGTTCAAACCCTGCTCCATTCAAATCATGATTAAAACAAGCGGAAAACACAAAATCTCATTATGTATACAAATCTCGAAAGTGAAGAACGTATAGTAAAAAAAAAAAGACAAAAGAAGTGAATATCAGAAGAAAAAGGAAAAAGGAAAAAAAAAATATTGGCTGGGTAGTTCTCAAATCCCCAAAATGGTCCTAATCTGATCAGGAGGATGTCTTGCCAACGACCTCGGGTCTGGGTACCCATTACCCGGATCCATTATCCCCTTATAAATCACTTCATACACATCCGCAAGGGACCTTGCCAGCTGGATGCAGGCCTCTGACCTGAGGCTCGGCACCTGCATCTGCTCAAACTCGGGCAATGAATTCTCGCTCCCCAAAATAAGGCCGAAGAAAGCTTTGAGGCACTCTGAGAGAGCAGGTGGCGACATGTCATCAATATCCGCCAATGGCTGGGTAGAGGTGGGTTTCGACGACTCGTAAAAGTGGGGCATTTTGTTCGAGAGCCCGCATTTCCGTAGGATCATGTCGGCTTCTTTCTCAACGAGACCACGTACGTTGGATTCGATCATTGTCCCGAGCTTCTTTGCATAGTCGGATGCCACATCATGCCCCAGCAAAGGTTGCCGGACGGCGGATAAGCAGTTGATCAGGAATATCCTCGAGGGTGTCTCGCGAATCTGCATACAACAAGACTAGTTTTAAATGGAAGTTCGATATTATTTCAATTTCTCAGTTCTCATAGTTATTCTGGGGTTTTTTTTTTTTTAGTNCAGTTTTACGAATTCGTCTTCTAACTTTTTAAATTATTTGATTCTTTTTATTCTGGAGTTTTGTGTTTTTTGCTATTTTTTTGTTCTTATGAGGGAAAAAAAAAAATGTTCAGGGCACTCAGATATAACAGTAAGAGACTTGGTCGGCCATTCAAATGATACCACAGCCTAGGAACCCTCAAGAAGAAACTATTATCATTCAGAGCTTCCAAAAAGCCACAGTTCATAACTAGTAAGCTATAAATTCATAAATTTTGGTGGTTACAAGAACGCTGGACATTACATTAATTAAACCAGGCATAAAACGACGTATCAAAAAATTAAGGGGCTGGGTTGTACCAGCCCTCCCATACATTGTAGGTAAACTAATGTGGATATGTTACGTAGTTATTCGTAGTACTACGTGAGTAAAGAATGATTGATATCATCAAAGAAAACAGGACCTCACAGTAGAAAGAAGTGATTAGCGACGAGTGACATTCACATGCAGATACAGCCGAAAATTAACTCATACACGTCTTTTACTTAAATATTCAAACAAGAAATTTTCTGGACTGAAACATCTGCTGTTAAATAACCACTTAAAAGCTTCAAAAATCTAATGGAAGCAGAGCACTCCATTTTAAGCATGCAAATATATATACCTGAAATGAAGATGAAGAGCTGCTATTATCCAAAATGGCGTCTATAGACGATCTGCGGAGTTGAGCAGTGTCTGAACCTACTCGACTCCTTCTCGATGACTGGATTGCTCCCTTCGACTTGTGTGCCTCTGCTGCTTGCTCACACATCTATCAATAAGGATCATGATCATAAAATCGCAATCGGTGAAACGTAAGTATTACTCTGGACAGAAGTACATATGACAGTAAGAACTCAAATCAATTGAATCAGAAAAACTAAGTGTTAATGAGTAATGCAACGTGAAACTTGTGGACATCAAACCAAGTAAACAGCCAGACAGAGAAATTATTCCTCTTCTAATTGTGGAATAAAGGGACATGTCATGAACTGTTTTGATAACACACCTGAATAATAGGATCCAACAGAGCAGAAATGACGGGTTCAAATGCAGGCTTCTCGCCCGACACGGGAACCATCATACTGTCATACGTTTCAATTAATTCAAGCAGCACAGAGACTCCTTCCCTCAGTGCTGGAGGTGGAGAAAGATCGACAGCAACTAATGGTGGGTATCTCAACAGCTTCTCTCCTCGAGCTTTTACGATGTCGAAGAATGTTTTTTGGGCAGCATCCTTGAGAGCCCAAAGTGTATTACACAGAGCGGTTTCCCTTCCCAGAAGATCTGAAATCTGAGGTTAACAAGTTGAATCCAATGAACAAAAGAGATTAATAAAGGGAAGGCACTAGGTGAATTAAACAGTCTGGCAGATTTTTTGCCATTCATCTCTTGAAAAAATGTGTTAATTAGTTATTTTTTTCGAACTACAGGTTTTTGGGCATTTTGAGTTATATATGTCCATTTTTTAGTGCAGTACATTTCTTAATTCCCGGTTCCACAGAAATTGTTTCTTGGATTCGGGAAAATATGTTTGGTCGGAAAATAAATGTCTAGTATCTACGCAGTCAAAATGTTAATGATGCAAGTAGCTCACAAAAGGTTATGTTAAGTCAAAATTGCTAAAATCATGTCTGTTTGGAAAATGGCCAAAAATCATTTTTGAAAATACAAAATGATTGCCATTTCACTAAATTAACATTGTTTAATGTTTGGTAAAGAGCTGACTCACAGTGTGGCTGTAAAACTCCAGGGTAATAGTAAGCTTATATGAGATTATAAGGCTAGGCTGTGACTGCAAAACTTGTTCAACTCGCACTTTAAACGGCCTACAAACACCTTCAAAAATCCTGTCTAGAACAAAAGTTAAGTCTGAATCTGCCTTCCCCGAATCAGACTCCGGGATTTTGGAGAATCTTTGTGCAATTGGTCCAGTATCTGCCACCAAATCAGGATCAAGCAATGCAAGGACAAGTTCTCTTTCAGATGCCAAGGCCTGTAATAAAACCATGAATCAGGAATACGAAACACAAAACCACAACTGAGGCAGGAAAAGAGATGAAAGAAGTAAATGAAGACATACCTGATGCAGCCATCCCAGCATATCACCCACATATCTTAAAGGGTCATGAGCATGAACCTCAATTGGCCTAGGCAGTCCACCAGGTCCTCCACGTGTGAGAGCACTAATGAATCTTCTGAACAGTGCATTATGTCTCATGTTTGCAACCTGTAAGTTAGAAAAAGTATTTGTAGGGAAGCAATTAAAGAAATTGTACACCTAACGGGGTTCAGTAATGATATAATTTTATTGCATAAATACCTCTTCTGCACAGTACTTGAAAAGGACAGGCCTTGCTTTAAGACAACGGACGGCAGTTCTTAAGAGCTCATTAACTTCGGGGTTGTCAAAATCTCCAAGTCTTCGACACTCAGCTTGGACCCACCTAGGCAAAACGATAGGATCACATATTATAGAGCCTCAATTGTCACAAAAAATAAAAATAAAAAATACAAACATTAATTAAGAAAGAATACAACTTTTTCATGTCTACAGAAAAAATTGTGTATTATACTCATCCTGATCCTGTTATAACATAAAAATTGGCTGGAAAATCTAGAAGCAAGATGTATGCATAATGAATTATTTGCTAGGAGACCACACAATACTAACAAGTATCGTAGCTGGGGACTATTTATCTTATTCTTCTCCTTGCACCAGGAGAAGCTTCCACCATTTATTAAGAAAAAAATTGCTCATCAAGAATATGATTGTGTCAAATCTATTCTTCAATGCATGTCTGTGTGTTTTAGTATATGTCAAGTTAGAAACAATGCTAGTGTATTTCTTCAAGTCACCCATCAACTATCATATAAAAGAGAATCACCTGCATAAGCGTTCATAGGCACCTTCTTGGTAGACAGCCATCATGTCCATAAGCTCTAAACCAGCTCGCTGCAAAGAGTCATCAAATGAATTAAGAAAAATATAAAAAGATGCTTATTCAGAACACAGCCAGTGTTAGCTATACACACAAGGGGGAGGGAAAACAATAAATCTATATAAAGGACGAGTGATCTTGTAAAAATATGAATTGCCTCAAATGCCCTTACTTTGACATATTTTTAATGGCAAATTAATAATACAGTAATACCCATCTTATTTTATATTTTTAATTAACAAATGAACTACAAAAAAAACCCTTACTGTGACTTATTTTTAATGGTAAATTATTAGTAATACACTAATACTCAACATATCTTATATTTTTAATTAATAATTAATATTTAGTTAAATAAATATAGACACACGAACAAAACCTTCTAGATCTCCTAAAAATTCACCTCAACATTCTCATACCATTATTCCTCACGAATTTGTTTCGTTCACATATCTGTCAACTTCAACATTGCACCTTAGATTTATAGAATTGAATTTTTATCCCACAAAAAACGTTATTTATTTGTTTGTTTGATTATTTTTTCCAATTTTGGTCACAAAGTCAATAAAGTTAACGAATTTTCGCTTGACCATTAGGTGAAGAACATATGAAAGAACAATATAAAGTACAAAAATATTAAATTTGCTAAATATTATAAAAACAATATAATTAAGTTGTCATACTTCCTAATAAATATGAAAAGTAATAAAGAAAAATGTTATAATTAATAAAAATAAACATAAAACTTTTAAAATTGTACTTATCGATGCAAACGAACTGAATTGTTCAATGCTTGTTAATTTTTTGTGCTTCAGTTCTATGTGTAAGTTTTAGGTGATAAACAATAGTTATTTGTACTTTTATCCATCTAGGTTAAAACTTTTATTTTTTAGAAAAAAAAATGATTATTTTAATTTTAAATAACCTTTTATTTTCTATTATTTTTTTGAATATAATATGTAAATATCATATTACATATATAAAATAATATTTTTATTATTATTTAATATTTAATATGTAAGAAATTTAACTCAATTGATAAATTAATAGGTAATTTTGAGATAAAATAATGAGTGATTTTAAAAAAATATATGGACTAAAAAGTACATGTGCTAAATATATTTTTAAGAGAAAAATTGTAGGTATTCCACTAAAAATTGCAATGAATATTTCATTGGTGTAGTGTTCATTGGAAAATTCCAGTCTATTCCAATAGAGATCAAATTAAATTACATTGAAATTTTTGTTGATTAATGATTATAATTACCATTATTTATTATGGTGTGAATTTCAGTTAGAATTTGTTTCCGGACCATATTTCAACTATTGAAAAAATTGTCAATGGAATTTTAAAAAATTCAATATAAGTTTATGGAAAGCTAATTGCTGTAGAGGATACAAAATAATTTCATATTGGAGGCACTATTTAGTTAATAGAAAAAGTATACCATCACAATAACATAATGCACTACAATTTATAAATTATACTTTTCACAGTTTGTCATCTTTCTCATATGTAATACATTTTTAACACATATAAGTTAGAAAATATTAAAAAATTTGTACTTTTACTCATTTAGTTAAATAACTTTTTTATTTGCTATTAGTTTTTTAAATATAATAAACAAATATCATATTACATTTATACAATAGTAAATATTTTCATTATTTAATATGTAAGCAATATAACTCAATTAAGAAATTAATAGGTAATCTTGAGATAAAATAATGAGTGGTTTCTAAGAAATTACATGGACTAAAAAGCCATGTGTTTAATGTATTTTTAATAGCAAAATCTGTAAGGATGTTCTGAATCTCATCTCAGGATCTTGCCTGGAATAATATTTTCAACAAATAGAGAAGCTTATCTAGACCATGTGTGTGTGTATGTATGTGTATCAAAGAAATTTAGAAAACCAATTCAAAGAAAGAAAAAGGAGAAAAAGAAAAGGACAATAGACTGAAATTCACTTTCAAGTGTCTTATTTTCAAGACAAATTATTTTATTAATCACATAAATGCACATAGATGTACAAGGAGTTGTGTAGCTCAGAGAATTGTGCAACCATCAATTAATTTGCGTTGTATTCCATATAGAAATAATACTAATAATCAATACCATGTATAACTTATTTGACGTGGAAATCCACGGAAGGAAATATAAGCGATAAATATGGGAAAAGAATAATGGACTGAGTAACATAATACTACATGCTAACCAGCAAAGAGCTACAGTCCTAAATATGATAAATTTGAGAGAAAACTAGTGCACACATAGTAGGAATGTCATAAAAAAAGTACTAATGGGCAATCTTAGACAAAGGATTGCCAAACCAAAATATCCTCATCTGCTCTATGATGGCATTACATATTTATGACAATTTTCGCCAAATATACTCATTATTCTCCACAACTATACATCGGATCCTCCAAATAAATCAGTCAAATAAATTATGTCATTCAGGTCATCCACTCTAGAAAACCACACAACAAATCCCACCATATCTCAATTAATGCCCAATATTTCAGTTTACAGAGACAACTCACGTAAACGACACGTGCTAACAAACAATAACAAAAAACGGCTACAATCAAGATGCAAACAAAAATACACTAGTGTTGAGAAAGTCAAAAGTTCAAGCATCAACACAACACAATGTTGTTAACAGATTCTCAAGTAGCTGGAGCTAACCAACATGATCTCTTATAACAACAACAACAACAAATAAATGTTAATGGTTACAAATTAAAATATTCCCACCTTAACAGTAGTAATTTACATCACAAAACTGAAGGCCTCAATAGCCAGAGCTGGTATACAATCATTCGGAAACCATCATATTCCGTGGATTTGTCTCAATCAATGAAAAAGTGCGCCTGAACCTAAAAATAATAAATGAATTGTCATAACTAAAATTGAATTATTTAGTTAATTTGAAAGTTTTTACCTTTCTCAGTTTCTGTGCAACATAGTGTATGCTGCAGCCTTTTCCTCCAAGATTTCCTTCTATTATCTCCTCCAGAATAACGAAGAACTTATTCCAATCCAGAGCATTGCTAAAGGGCAAAAAATCTCATGTTGCATGATTGCTAGAAAATAAATCCTAAGTTTGGTTGTCTTTTCATTTGAAAAATAATATTAAAAAAATTGAAAATAAACATTACATGGCACACACTCATTCATGATTGTCATCGTTATGCAAGCGTTTGCATTGGGAGACCCAGCTACACACAGGCAGAACTTGGCGTGCCTCAACTTGTGGCCCATTTTCCTCACCAATACTTTAGTTTTGATGATTTCAAGATCCTGGTCGCCGGACCACAGCCTTACGAGCATCTTTCGGGTCTCGGAATTTGCAACCCCTTCCCAGTATCCAAGAGTAGTCTTGCATATGGATTATATTCCTTAAATACTTAAATCGTAATAAAATCAAAAGTTGATATGGCTAACTAACCTACTCTTCAAACTCTCTACTGTAGGATGCTGAGAAATCTGGCATGACAGAAGGGGGGCTGCTACATTATTGGTTATGATAAAACCCGATTTTAGGTTGCCCGAACACAACACTCGAATTGATTTTTCCAACATTGACTCATTGGTTATGATAAAACCCGATTTTAGGTTGCCCGAACACACCACTCGAATTAATTTTTCCAGCATTGGCAACCCAAAGTCGGGTTTTATCAGAACCAATGATGTAGCAGCCCCTTGTCATGCCAGATTTCTCAGCACCCACCGAGTAAAGGGTTTGAAGAATAGGTTAGTTAGCTATATCAACTTTTGATTTATTACGATTCAAGTATTTATGGGATATAATCCATATGTAGGACTACTCTTAGATACTGGGAAGGAGTTGCAAACTCCGAGACCCGAAAGATGCTCGTAAGGTTGTGGTCAGGATCTTGAAATAATCAACACTAAAGTATTGGTGAGAAAACGACCACAAGTTGAGGCGCGCCAAGTTCTGTAGTTGGGTCTCCCAATCCAAACGCTTGCATAACGATGGCAATCCTAAATGGGTGTGTGCCAGGTAATATTTATTTGAACTTTTTTAATTTTGTTTTTTAAATGAAAAGACAACTAAACTTAGAATTTATTTTCTAGTAATCATGGAAGATGAGATTGATTTGTCATTTAGAAATGCTCTGGATTGGAATAAGTTCTCCATTATTCTGGAGAAGATCGATATCTATCGAAAGGAAATCTTGGAGGAAAAGGCTGCAGCATACACTATGTTGCACAAGAACTTATGAAAGATAAAAAAATTTCGAATTAACTAAATAATTCAATTTTAGTTCTAACAATTCATTTTTTTATTTTTAGGTTCAGACGTACTTCTTCATTAATTGGGGCAAATCCACGGAATATGACAGTTTCCAGATGATTGTATACCAGCTCTGGCTATTGAGGCCTTTAGGTTTGTGATGTAATATTACTATGGAGGGAGTATTTTAATTTCTAGGTAGAAAATATCAATCTAGTGCATTTTTGTTAACAACATTGTGTTGATGCTTGGACTTTTGACTTTCTCACTAGTGCATTTTTGTTTGGATCTTGATTCTAGTCGTTTTTTGGTTTTTTGTTAATGGTTGTTAGCCCGTGTCCTTTACGTAAGTTGTCTCTGTTAAACTAAAATATTGGTCATTAATTGAGATATGGTGAGATTTGTGGTGTGATTTTCTAGAGTGGATGACCTGAATGACATAATTTTCTTATTGAAGGATCCGATGTATAGTTGTGGAGAATAATGAGTATATTTGACGAAAATTGTCATAAATATGTAATGCCATCATAGAGCAGATAAGAATAAGAATATTTTGGTTTGGCAATCCTTTGTCTACGATTGCCCATTAGTACTTTTTTATGACTTGGACCATTCCTACTATGTGCGCACTAGTTTTCTCTCATCCTGTCAAATTTATCATATTTGGGAGTGTAGCTCTTTGCTGGTTAGCACGTCGTATTATGTTATTCAGTCCATTATATTTTTCCCATATTTATCACTAATATTTCTTTCCGTGAATTTCCACGTCAAATAAGTTATACATGACATTGATTATTAGTATTATTTCTATATGAAATACAACGCAAATTAATTGATGGTTGTACAATTCTCCGAGCTACACAGCTCCTTGTACATCTATGTGCATTTTAAACTTGTCTTCATGCATATCTAATTGCTAGTTATGTGATTAATAAAATAATGACTTGAAAATAGGACACTTGAAAGTGAATTTCAGTCTATAATCCTTTTCTTTTTCTCCTTTTTCTTTCTTTGAATTGGTTCTCTAAATTTCTTTGATACACATACAAACACACATGGTCTAGATAAGTTTATCTGACATGTGGTATTTGTTGAAAATATTATCAGAACATCTTTATAGATCCACCAGTAACGAGACTTACTGCGTGGCCAGTTTTTTTTATTTCTTGTTTTTGCTAGGTTTTTCGAGCACTATATACTGCGAAGAGTATTATAATATAATAGAATTTTAATTTTTTTTTATCTCTAATATTTTAACAAATGATATGTTTCTCAATATTATCTCCTTGTTTTTTTTTCATTGTTTAAGAATCAAGAAAAGATATTTATCATAAATTTTCGAAACATTATGATTGATGCAAAAATTTGGACAATAAAAGCGTCTGAAATCATTGGAACAACCAAGATGCTCAATTATTTGCAAACAACATATTATATAGTCCGTCTATCTTCTAAATAAATAACATTGAAAATGAAATGTCGGGGTATAATCAAAATATTTTTGAAATTTTGAATGAAGTTATCATATTTTAATAGAAATATTTACAATTTTATTAGTGTATTATGCTCGAACATATGTGCAATTACTCTAGAGTATATACTTTCATGTAATGTATGACGATTTCAAAAAATAATTTAGTTTTCATGTAATGTGTGATGATTTAAAAAAATAATTTAGCGTCTCGAAAGAAGCATATGTAACCAAAATTTTGAAAGATCAACTTTTATTTGGAAATGAAACTCATTCTCACCTCGTGGGGCGATGCCTCCATGGGGGAGGTGTCAATTTGTATATAGAGAGAGAATAATTATTTCACAAAGATATTCATTAACTGTTATTAGCAATACCATATAAAGATCATAATCATAGAGTTTGACTATATGTTTGGACAAAATATTTTGCATTGTTTGAATAAAGTAGACGTTTTGCGTAATGAATTAAGAAGAATTTACCTATTGATGTATAGAACTCGAATGAGTATGTATGTTTTTTATGAGAACGTCTCCAAACTAAAATGAAAGAAAAACACTCTTGAATCATCAAACATAAATAAATAAAAGAACTAATGCATTTATATTATACATTATGTCTTTATTTAGTTATTTAGTGTCTTGTTTCAAAAAAAAATAAAAATTATGGACTCATTTTTCATGTATTTTTGTTGGGATTGTAATATGTTATTTTATTCTTTTTATATTAGTATATTGTTATGTTATTTTTGAAAAAAAAAAATACACTAGGAGCTCATTTGTTCTACATTTTATTTTGTTCCCGCTATGATATATTTAATAAATTAATTAATTTATTTTACTAAACATTCGCCACCACGTGCGATGCACGTGCACTTTACTAGTCACTATAATAGTACTCCACTAGGGTTGCACCATAATCTTTTTGAGACGTTTCAAAACAAGGATTCAGTTAAATGATAATCACTTTCAGAATTGCTCTTATACTTAGTTAAATTGATGAGCCATAATAAGTTTCCATCTATGGTGCACTACTGCAAGAAAATAAAGTTCACATCATCATTCTAGACAGGATACAATAAAAAATCAAATGGGACCTATATTGTCAGGGTGGAAGAACGAATTAAGTAAACACAACTACAAGCAAGTCTGTAAAGGATTTCGAGAGCAAAGTGAAATAGCTTTCAAATTTGATAACAGGTCATGAGGTCTATGTCTTTGCGCGCATAGTTATAATAAGACACTGAAAATACATCCATAAGGATGCAACGTCTTTAGTTAGCATGGTCCAATCCGAAAGATTTACAAGTGTGTCCCTTGTGAAATTGTTGTTTTCATATTGCACATTTGTTGACAAAAATTTATGCTGAAGCTAAAAGAATTACAAGATAATGTTACATGGCAACTAACATAAGCTGTTCCTTACGGAAAACACTGGGGAAAGAATAATAAACAACATCAGGATGTCAGAGAAGTGAGAATAAATTCTTTTAGTGCAAGTTTGTGGAGATTGAACTGTATATGACTGTGGGCGTGCAACACACATGTATATGTGAATGAGTGGGTGATAGAGCAACAACAAATAGTCATAAGGGTAATCATGAAGAACCTGGTGGTGTGTCCTTAGCAATAATTTGCAGTTGGCATGAATTTCATGTACATGAGCAAGTGCCTTGAAAAAGTTTTCACTCAGCTCTTCCTCACGAAGGGCATTTATCTGAAGAATCAAACAGCAACGCCAGAAACTTAGATGGTTAGACATAATTAAGAATTACAATGACCAGGCAATGCTAGACATCAGTTGGATAATCAGGCAAACCTCATCATTTGAAAGCTGATAATCACGAAGAAAGAATGATGCTATTTCTTGTCTTTGTGTGGTGTTTTCAAGCTCTTGTTTAAGCCTCTCTGTGGTACTAATAATGTCACCAGTGGTAGCATTACAGTTATTTAAAGCTTTTGCAATCCTACAGCAATAAAAGGCAGGTTGTGTGAACATTCGATATATCCATTCATGTTTATAATGTTTGATAATATTTATCAAACTTATTATCCTTCATATGTAGCCAATGTGATGCTAGCGGGCATCCAGCTATTTGAACTCATTTAAGAAAGGGTCACCAATGTTATGGAACAAGTGTTCAAAATTTCAAATTTACAAGAATGAGTGAAAACAAAGCAAAGTAGTAAAAAGCCTGTAGATGAAGATACATCAAATAAAACTCCTCAAAAGAAAATAATTGATGGCATTGGTAGAACAGGAGTATACAGTAAAATTAGCATTAGTACAAAAGCAACAACGTCTTTATCTATCAATTCTGAATTCAACCTCTGCCGAAGTCATTGCCAAAAATAATCAGCTGGCTCGCTTTCATTAGAAAATAACATAACCAAAAAAAAAAAAGTTATATATATAAATACGACACGAGGAAGCATAATTACACATCCTACATGTACATGGTAATGTACTATATAGACGTCATCTTATAAACAACTCATCAACTAGAAATAAAAATTCAGAGAACGAAATAATGTATCTATGTATGTATATTGTATTTATATTAGACAAAACAATAGAGGAAGCATACTTATCACAACATTCAGCCAGGGCATTGACCTCTTCCTCAACCTGGTCCAAGGCCTATAAACCAAATCAAATACTAATAAATCAAGATCATTACAAACCCAATCAAAAATATTAAATTTAGTTTACAGCTCAAAGAAGGGGGAAATATAACAAAGAACAAAAATGGAGATATTAAGAAAAAAAAAAACAAATACATATTATAAATCCAAAAAACTACTTTAGTATGTTATGCCAGATAGTAAAAGATATGGCCCTGATAAATAATAAAGCACCTACTGACTTGGAAAAACACTAATCACTTCATGTCTTCTTGATGTAATCTAAACAGAAGTCATACCCATAAACATTGCAAAAGTAATAAAAATAAAGACAAACGGAAGTACAGGTAAATTCAAGTGAACACTAACAGCATACTTTTTGACCGCTAACTGCATATTTGAATCATTAGGTTAAATTTCAAAAGTCACATATACAAGACTATCTCACATGTTGGGTTCCAATCCAGCATCCTGCCTCCATGGGCTTACAGATGCTGATCTGCAACATGAGATTTGACTCGCACTATCTCTTTTCTTTTTCTTTTTCTGTTGGTCATCTCATTGAGAATTATCAAATGGAGTAAACCCTGACCTGTTGACCCTTTCTTTTTTTTTTTGGCGATATCAGCATATTTAATTCAAGCATAGAAATTGTGCAAGGCAGATTCCTACGCTGGCAACAAGGGTAGATTTGGGATGAGTGACCCCTGACATTGCTCTAGGATGAGCGTTAGTGAGAGTGAGAGTGAGAGTGAGAGTGAGTGAGGACAAAGCAAGATCGAGCTTAGAAAAGATACGTACACTTTAATTTCACGTACAACTCAGCTACCAACATTACTAGCTGGAGTTTTCTTGTAGATCTTTTGTTAGCTTCACTATCTTTTTACCTCAAACTTCTTCTGTCTAAACTCTAATGTCTTCCTACATTTTCGCGCACAACCATGCTGTGGCACTACTATAAAAGAAATTATCCAAAACCTTCCAAAAAAGAAATATGTTATGATACTACATTAGTTATTGTTCACAACCAAATAAGGTTATAATTATTTTGTAAACGCGTGCATGGGTGTGTGGGGGTTGGGGACCATTCTGTTCTAGCCAGGGATGTATATCTTTAATCTTCTTCTGTTAAGTTTAATTTTCTTGACACCAAATAGTAAATCATTCTTTATTTACTGATGATACATGAATTCAATTTATTTGGCTCGATTTTAGTGTGCCATGAGAGATCAAATCCCAGTGCAACTGGAGTAGTAAATGTAGCTATTAACTGTCATACACAGTTCTGAAGAAACAGAGAGACAAAGCAAATCTGAGTTGCTATCATCTTCTGGTACTACCTGAGCAAACCATTTATCTTTCACAATTGTCATCAAAAAACAAAGATCTTGCCAACCTACTTCATACTGAATTTAAGCTTATTTCAAGTCCCATTCTACAAAATCATAGAATTAACCATAAATAAAATTACCACAAAAAAGTATTCAGATAATTCATGGGCAAGACTTGAAGTTTGGAACATCAGATCCATAAGAACATTTGAATAAACTAAACTCACACTGATTTAGTTCAATGATCCACCACTCAGAATGTATATTGGTGATATACCATTACAAACAATTCAACAACGACCAAGCTCTAACGAGCACAAGCACCATCTATCGCAAAACAGCTTCGTTGCGGCCATACTACCAAGGTACAAGCAACAAATGGGCAAACCGCAGGCGTTGATCGTGCAAGTCCAACCAAAAAACCAAGAC